ATGGATATATTGAAGAAACGCTTAAAGAAGGGGTTTTAGAAATGGAAATACAATAATTCATTGGATTTGATAGCAGGAGACAGACAGACAGTTTCCATAGGTTCCAAAGCAGAACAAGTGCAAGAAAAAGAGAGAGAGAGGAAAAGATCTTTTAAACAGAAGGAGATAAAGAGCTCACTCTGCTCTCACTCTCTCTCTCTCTGAGTATGCGGGGTTCACTTTTATCAGCTCCGAAGCTCCACAGAACCGCGAAGAGCAATCACTCGTAAATTGTAGAGACATAGCCCTCCGTAGAGCTCTCTCTCTCTCTCTCCCGCTGCCTATAAAAGTAAATCAGTTCTCAGCTCTCCTCTCCCCTTGCATCGCCTGCCCCTTTCAATTTCTTTCTATACTTCTTTTGACGCTTGGGTTTTTTCTCTCACATATGGCACCACGAGTGGCAGGCACCACGATTCGAGTGGAGTGGATTGGAGTGAAGCAATTAATTAGTGTGCTTAATTCGGATAATTATTCCAGGCAATAAAATTTTCAATACATTGAGATGATGATGATTGTACGAGTGCCACTCCCGCACTCTACCGCACTCTGCCGCAGTGGCAGTGTGTCCACACCTACCCGAAAAATGGGAGACAGAAGGACACGTTTAATTCAATTCGCGAAGGTTCCTTGACTTGTTTGGTTTTTCTTTCTTTTTTTATTTATAAAATAAAGAACCCGAGGATAAAACTGGAAATAAAAAAACTGTTCTGTGTGGCGCAGGCGGAGGAGTACGGACGGGGGCGACATTTAAATTCAAATTGTTCGAAGACGCTCTGACAAAGAAGCAGCGGCGCCACACGTCGGATTAATTTTATGTGCCCCAAGGAAGAAGAAGGAGCAGCAGTATCAGCAGCAGCATCGGCATCGGCATCATCCACGTCGCAGGACAATTCTCCCTTTGGTTCAATTAGAGAACAGCTTTGGCGGTGTGGGGAATGGGGGGGAGTCCTTTGGCATTTGCCATTGGCTGGCGTGCCATGCAATTGTTAAAATCGAATTAAGCCACGGTGTCGCATACTTTTGATCTCCCTGACGACGACAACGACGACGACACCGAGGACACCAAGGACGTGGACCAGGAATGGGGAACGCCTCGTTCAGCCAATGAAATGTTGCAGTTCTCGGGCGAATGTCCTTACATTGTCCTTGCCATTGAATGGCTCTTTGTCGCTATCCATCCATGAGGTACGAGTGCTGCGAGTGGTACGAGTGCTGCGAGTGTGCCTTCCCCCCGTGAAGATTTCGGTTTCAATTTCGGGTTTGCTTGGCGCAAATGAAATTAAACGAAGATTAGTCGTGTGCTCCGCGTAGATTATTCCAAGAAATAAAAATCTACCAGATACTATTGCACAAGAGAGAGAAAGAGAGATACAGATACTATTGCCCGAGCTAGAGATACACTTACAGATACACTCCAGACTAGAAGCGTTCATTATTTTTTCGTTTTGCCGGCTTCTGCTTTTGCTTTATTTTTATTTTCATTTGTATTTTTATTTTCCTTCTTGTTTGCTTTTTTATGGCCCCCTGAAGGTGATTTGGCCTCCCCCATTACCGTGGCAGGGGGAAGGATGGAGATTAGTAGTAGACTGCTGGTTGGGGCGGGGGCAGGGGCAGGAGCTTTACATTAGTGGAGCACAAATCTGAGCAAATCACAAGCTCCATTTAACCCACAAATGATGGCCAGCTTTGGCATCAGATGGAATTTATGAAAGAGTTTGGTTTGAACATTCAGGCTTGGGGCAATCCGTGGATAATGAACGACAGGTTCTACACTAGGAGGCTAGAGGAACAGTCGGAGAGTATTTACATATGAATACGCGGTGAATTTCCATGCGGAGGAACCCTGGCCAACCCCAAGCTGGGGCTGCGGCAGCCGTAAGTGTCATAAGTCAATCGCAATCACTGTCATTTATTTCAATCAAGGGATTAATCTTTGACGATCGAGATTCGATCATTAGTGCCACGTGGAGCGCCGTTGTTGCTGCAGTCTGGTGTACCCCACGTTTGCGTCGACTCTTAACTAAAATACTAGTAGAGGAATATTAAATTATTGCATTGAAGCTTCTTTGGTATGGAAAAAGAGGTATCAAACATCATTTGAAAATTATTTTTAAAGGAAATCTATCGTATATCTTATTTTATAGCTTATAGCTTCGGCATTTTGCAAATCATAATGGCAATTGACGATCGAACAGCGCGGATGATCCATAAGATCATGGATCTACAAGATCTACAAGCACAAGGTGTAATAGATATTTGTTTATACATTTTTTATATGGATAACACTGCAAGGGTACCAGCCTATAGTCGTAGTAGCATAATAGTTCCGATAGGGTGTTTAATGATTCGCTTTTCATGTCTTCTAATCGCCTCTAGCGGCCATGATAATGCCAATTTTTAGAAGAATAAATTAGCTGTCTTTCATCATAGGCGCAACCTCCGCTGATAACCTTTGATCCGCAACCTCCATCCTGGGGTACTTTCAGGGTTCACTCACTTCTCAATGGCCTGTAGGGATCTCTTCGCTTTCCCTCATTTTTCACAGCTTTCCTCCGCCTCCGCCTCCGCTACCGCCTCTGCTGGTCGTGTGTTCAATTAAAAAATGGTTGCCATTAATTGCTAACCAATTTGCAGTCCGGACACTTCCTGGCTGTGGCTGTGGATGCGGCCTGTGCGGCGGCTGTGGCGGGACGATGTCCTCAAGTGTCCCGGACTGGATTTTCCTGCTTCTCCCCCTCCTTCATCCTGCTCCTCCTGACACTTTGATGAGCAGCAGATGAAGCGGAGGCCGTTGATGGTGACATTTTTTGCATATTAATTGAAGACAGGGCCGCCCTGGTCGGTCCCTGACTCATCCTTCAGTCGAATAACCATACCCCATTCCCCACAGGCCAATACATAAGGTCCCGTCTCTTGGCTTAATTTGCGGTAAGTTCATTAAGTAATAAAACATAAATTTCATAAATTTTTTCTCGTTTTTCTCTTTCTTTTTTGGGATTGCTCTTTTTGGCGTGGCGCAACCGTCCCGTCCCATCCCTTCCCGCGTGCCGTCATCAAGTTCTTGATACTTTTTCTCCGTTTTCCTTGTTTTTAATGCTTTGCATATTTCTTTAATGAATTAATTCTGTTTTGGTTTTCGGTTTGGCTTTCTGTTGATTCACCGTTCACTGGACTTTGATAAAAAACCAGAACGAGCAGCAGCGATAAAAAAAAACACGACGCAGAAAGACCTCAGAGAAATAATATTTTGTATAATTTATGCGGAAAACATTACGGGTAAAAATCGGAGGGAGGGCGAGAGACTGCGTGAGAGCGGGGGAACGGAGTGTTAATTATGCGCTAGCCGGACAGCTGGACAAAACTTTTCTATCAATTTTGGGAAATATAAATTCGAGAGCGTAAAAACATGTTTTGCATATGAAAATGGGAGGGAAACTAGTCGAAAATGTTGCGCTTTGCTTCAGCGGCTAATTGCGTCCTCCGGGGGGCACTCCGATCCGGGCAACAACAAAACTTGCATCCAATTGCAGAGGGAAGGAGCTTGTGTCCAGATCTGATGACTGCTGCTTCTGGGGTTCTTGGATTCTGGTGTCAGGTTGTCACTCTCTCCGTTCCGTTGCAGTTGCAGTTGTTTGTTGTCTGCTGGCTGCTGATTGGTGACATGCCCCCTGTCCATGCCGCAAATGAGCCGTGCAATTGCCTGAGGCAGCCTCCTATTGACAGCTCCCATTGATGCAGCTCCAGCCGCAGCTCCAGCAGGAGCACTGAAGACCCCGCGGGATTCGTCTCGTGTTTCCGAGACGTGCGCACGGAGAGGGTGCGGTGCTGCCTGCCCCTGACTGACAACTGTCGTCGGTTTCTGTCGCGAGAACCTAATTCTGACACTGAAAAGTGTGACGATTTATTTGGCATATGTGGCATGTGGCATGTGGCATGCGGGGAACAAAGTGGAGCAGATGCCACAGATCTCTGAGCCTTCCACTGGACATCATTAGTCTTGGATCGCTCTTTCCTCTGGCTGAGACTGTGAAAATCTAAATAGATTTACGCTCATCGCTTCAACAGATTATTTTGCTCATTCTGATCATTTGTCACGGTACTCGTAGAAGCGGAACCATCATCCATTCTGTGGTTCCGAAAAGTCAACAATTGTGTTCGTAATACCATATAGATGTTTAATAGATTCTTGCATTTCATTCAAATGATTTTAAAGGAGAATAAATCATTAAAGTACTCTGGAATCTAGTTCGTGGAAACGTGTAATACTCGCTCGTGAGCGGAGCAGCAGGAGTCTCAGTTATTTCCAGGTTTCGGAGGTTTATTCCAAAATGAATCATTCCAATGAAAACTCTCTTAAGCGACTCGAATATTTGTTGTGAAACAATAGAGATGTCCAGCAAATGAAGTTAACATTAAAAAAAATGACAAACATTTTTCGAATGGTTAAATAAATATTTCTAAAACTACTCATTTGCTTAAAAATGGTTATACAATGATTCATATTTCCATCAATATTCTTATATACATTTTTTTGCGTCCGACCCCAACCCCCCGCCCCCCCCCCCCCCCCCCCCCCCCGTTAATATTTAGCTTTTTATTTTTTATATTTTTATTTTTTGTTAATTTTTTGCTTCTTCCCAGCACTACGTAAACTTCCAAATGTTTGCATGATTAGTGTATATCAACGAGTTCTTGACATCCATCGAGTGTAGAGACGAGTTTCTATATTACCTTGACGCTCGGAGATAGCCGTTACCAAGCCGCAGAATAGACTTCGAAACCGAAGTCTCCTCTCACAAGAGTGAGTACGAGCACATTGCCTGTCAGATCACACGCTCGGGACTGCGACTCTTATCTCTGGCGATGGGTTCAGTTCAAAGGGTCACTGGAGGCCTCGCTGGAGCGATAAGCTCCCATCGAATCTAATCCAGTCCCATGTGTAATCGGAACCGCTTTGACTGTCATCTGGGCATTCCGTGTCTAACTCTCGATCCGGTATGTTGCGTCTGGGCTCGTCGCTGCTGCTGCTGCTGGCACTCGCCATCGTGTCCGTCTACGGGGTGTCGATCAACTTCCGCAACTGTGCGGACAGCGTCGATGTCTGCACCGTGGACCAGGTGCGCGTAGATCCCTGCCCCCAGGCGGCCAGCAATGCCGCCTGCCACATCCGCCGCCGCCGTCCGGCAACCATGAGCTTCGACATTACGCCCAAGTTCGATGCCGACAGCCTGGTGGCGACTCTCGGGTGGGTGAAGAGCGAGGACGTGGAGCTGCCGCTGCTCAGCCTGGAGCGGGATGCCTGCAAGGCGGCCACCGGCTGCCCCGTGAGGAGTGGCGTGCAGCAGACCTACACCACGGAAGTGCCCATCGAGGCAAAGTTCCCGCTGAGTGCCTACACGATCCGCTGGGCCCTCAAGGATCCCGTCAGCGGCAAGCGGTGCTGCTTCACCATCGACATCAAGGTGGTGCGATAGGGGGGGCAAGGGGCTAGCCATGGGACGGCGGGGGCGACTGCTGAATAAAATGTATCTTCTGTTAACAATTTTGTGCGTTTTTTAATTATCCGTGGAATCGTTAAGGTTACGGCTCTCTGGGGAATCCCTCCGACACAGGAATCGGAGCAGATATATTTGCCGGCGACTAATTTGGACCCCGCGAGATGCTCTGCCCGCAAGCTGTCCGCCCGCTGAAGAAAAATACCAAACAAAAACTTTGATTGAACTTTTGGGTACCATTAAAAAGCCTCCACCTCTGCGTCCGCCTCTGCCGCCTCCTCGGTGGGTCTTATCAGCGTCGTCAAACAATTAAAAATTGAGCACTTAAGTTGTGGTCATAAAATCATTTGTTTTTCTTTTTTTTCCCCACATTTTTCTACATTTTTTATTGTTTTTCTGTTCACATTTTTCAGTGGTGGAAAATTCAAATAGCAAATCACTTTTGATGCCCTATAAACAGGGGAAGGAATGAGGAGGGTATATTGTGTTTAGGGAGAGGCAATTGTATTTGTATATAGAGGAATAATCCCGGCAGAGTATTGTGTGCATATACAAAATGTAATAGAAAAGTCTACTCAGTGAAGGTATTCTTTACTCTTGGGATCCATAAGATATATAGCATTCAAAGATCATATTTAGATACTCCGAAGCATCAATCGTTTTGGTATCTAGATTCTCTTAGTAATACAGCATAGAGTTAATTCTTCAAACTTTTTTTGGAGGGTATCTTGGGTGCCATAATCTTCCCAGAAAGAGCCACTCGATTCACTCTCATTTTTTGTTTACCTAAACGAAAACCCGACAAGTATTCTCTTTCTGGTGGTTGGGGTAGCAGTCCAGGGGCGGAGGTCACCAGATAGGCCTGACCCCAAAAAGTAAGAAAGAAAAGTGAAACGACAGCAGCCGCGCCACTTGAGCAAATAATAATAACGAGAATAATCAGAGAGAAAGTCCTTTAATAAAACACATTGTTACTCAATTTTGCAGCAGATTCAGACTCAGATTGTATTGGGATTCGAGTCGAGTATTCAGACGGTGGCATTGGCCTCGCCGTACTTGAAGCCCAGGACGTAGGGCGTCTTGGTGAGCTGCGAGAGGATCTGGCACTTGACCTCCTCGAAGCAGGGGGTGGCGTCCACGTAGAGCACCTCCCGCCGCTGGCTGAGGTAGGCGTTCAGGAGGGGCGCGCTCCTGCGGAACTGCTGCATCTGGCGGTCGAGGTAGGTGACGTTCGCCTGGGGGCCCGAGGCGTAGCTTTTCACGAGCATTCGCATCCGGGCCATGCGCTCCTCGATCCGCAGGAAGATCAGGTGGTTGGGTGGCACCTTAAAGCTTTCGAAGAGCTCGCGCGCCTCGCAGCTGTTGTTGGGGTAGTTGATGAGGATCCAGCCACGGTGCAGGGCGTCCTCCATGAGCAGCCGCTTCTGGATGAGCTTTCCGATGGCCTCGGAACGGCCGAAGACGCAGTCCTTCTCGATGGCCGCCTGCAGCTGTCGGCTGTGCTCGTCCTGACGATGCCCGTTGATGCTGTGGTAGGCGAGGACATCCGCATCGATGATCAGGAGGTTCCAGCGCTTGGCCAGCGCATGGGCCAGCGATCGCCGGCCTGATCCCGGCCTGCCATGAAGGACGATGCGGTGCTGGAATGAATTTGGCAGCTGGTAGAAGTCCCCCTGCACTCCACGGTGCACAGCGTCCATGTGCTTGGTGTAGATGTCGACGCCAATGCGACGCACGTTCTCCCCCATCCAGTGGCGCAGATCCTCGACGGGCTGCTCCGAGACCTCCGCCAGCAGACGGCTCACCACCTCCAAGAGCTTGTGCTTCTCCATGTAGTACATAAAGGCGGCTCCGTACTCCACGAGCAGCGATTTGTCGAACGTCTTAGGCAGGGACATTGCGTAAGATATGCGACGAAAAATGTAACAACAAATATGGATATTTTTTTTTTTTGGGAAAATATATCAAGAGTTGAAAGAATCTAATCAGACGAAAGGAACAAGTGAATTTTGAGACTGTTTTCAAGGGATTGTTATGGAACAAATTATTGTTGTTTTCGTGACTGAATCCTCTCCTGACTAGCCAACTTCCTTGTCCCCATATCTCGGGTGTATCTTTGCTTCCCGAAGGGTTATTCCATATCCTCTGGAAGCGCTTCTCCATCGCATCCATCTCCACTTGGAGACTCCTTATAGCAGTAATAACTGAATGTCCATTACCATTAAGAGGACTGTTCTGTTGCTTGGAATCTCTTCCATTATTATTACCATATTAATTGCTTCCGTTACAATATTAGAAAATGGCGCATACTTCCGGCCAGTCGGAGGATTGGGATATCGGGGCCAAGACGCTGCTGCCCATTTAATGGCCAACTAATGTCTTCCCACAGCCAGATGCAGGGCCATGTTCAGAGCCAAGTGAAAGGCAAATTGGCTGGCATGTGAGTGCCGTTCGCTGGCTGACAATATTTTGCAGCGAATTATGACAGCTCTTTTGTCTTTGAACAACTTAAAAACGCTATAGATGCAATGCTAACGGACTGCCAAGTGTTGCCAAAATGTCTGTCATACTTTATGTTGTCTTATGGGCGAGCAGCACATCCTTGGCATGTCCTGGCTGCTGCCTGCTGGCTGTTGGCTAAGCGGGAATGCAGGCGGATCGCCTTATGAGTAGATGCCATGAATGCCGCCTGCCATCCGGAGGGGCCCACCCACTCCATGGAGTGGTTGGAGTGGGTGGAGTGCTGGCTTCTGCCTTCTGAGTGGCTAATAAAAACCAACACAAGATGAAAAATTGTTTCCTGTTGCTGCCTTGGGTGGCTGTAGTCCTTGGCAGGACACTCTCCATATTGCTATGTCAAATATGCTGTTAATATCTTGCACACACTAATATCATTGCCCCCCTCCTCCTCCTCATCCCTCTCCTGCTTGGCAATGCATTTGCTTTGGGGTTTATCGTCGGGCTGCTCCATCTTGAAGGGAGAGCACAACACAAAGAAGGAGGAGGATCTTAAGATGGCAGAAGAGAGAGTACAACTTATGTGCCCCAGAAAAGGGGTTTAGTGGGGAGATAGGAGATAGGGTTTGGTAAAGCTCTTAAAATATGGGGGCACCATAGAATTATTCTTCGGAAATATAGATTGCTGCAGTAAATCTCTCAAATATAATTTTCATAGGTATTTCTACGAGTCAGATGGGATCTTTATCTTTACCCCACTTAGAATGTTGACCTGTAAGGGTATCCAAAGGGTCGGCCTCTCCAAGAAAGCCTTTCCCTTCTTGTTTTTAATTATATTAAAAAACAAAAAAAAAAAATCAAAATATGAAAAAACGAAAATGAATCTGTGAATGTGAATGCGAATGTGACTATGCTTTGCGGCTGTGGATGTGGCTGTGGCTGCCACAAAGCGCAACATTTTTAATTAAAGTCAAAGCGAAATGCGACAACGGGAACGACATCGAGAGCGAGAAACAGAACCAAAGCCAGAAAATGATAACAGCCCCGTCCGTCCATCAACCTCAAACCTCATCTCTGCGCCGCTGCGATGTTCTTTCGAGAACTGTGCTAAATTACATTTCATCATTATGGCCAGCGTCCGTCCACACACACTCAAACAAACACCCATAAACACACTCATATTCACTCATATTCACTCATATTCACTCGTGGTATTCATGTGTGTATCCTTTTTTAATCGCCAAAATTGTGGCACAAGTCGCTGTTGTCGCTATCGTCCGTCGCCATGTGACGCAGCGTCCGAGTCGAGTCACTGAAAGAAACGAGTCACCCACAAAAGCGACAGACAAGATGGCGGGCATGGGATGGGGGGCATGGCATCACAACGAAGATAAAAATGCTCTACAACCAGTACACATGGGGGGCATGGATATGCAATAGATAAAATGCATATATGCATACATATGTATGTAGGTGATGATTAAGATTGAGATAAAGATTAAGAACCGAATGGTTCTTATTCGGAACGTTTTTGTCGAGGAACAGCGCTTTGTAGGCATTCTTTACAAATGGCTTGTGACTAATTATAACTCTAAAACAGTTTTTATATCGAATAATAATATAATATAAAATATATTTATATAATATTATATGTAAAAATATATATATATATAATATTATATGTAATAAACTGATGTTCCTAAACGTTACGAGTCTCTCATAAGATTAATATTACCCCCAGAAAGAGTGCATTCGAAATACTTTCAGCGGCTTTGGGAAAAACTGCGCCTCTGAAGCGCTGATTGAGTGAGCAATGGGAAACGGGCACACGCTTCAAGAGCCTCAAAGGCCAGAGGGGGGAGGAGGGCAAATGCTCGACGGAGTAGTACCGCTTTCAATCAGACCTAAGCAGAGATCTCTGCAGCCTCATTATGCGCCTGCTACCCTGTGGGACGCAGAGATTCACAGCAACGAGGCGACACAGCGGTGTGATAAGAAAAAGTGACGTTCGGTACTAGGCACCGCCTCAAAGAACCGCGTAGAGCAGGCTTTAGCTTCAGCTTCAGTTCTAGCTGTAGCTGTAGCTGTAGATTGTTGCACACTTTTTGAAGTCTGCCGCTGCCTCAAGTCCCAGTGTTGCAACGCACTTTCGAGAGGCAGTTGCATCTGTGGAGACGATAGATGGATGGATGGATGGATGCATGGACGCGGCGGCGTCTTATCGGGCTTAACCTTATCGACGACACTTCCTCTGCCGCTCATCTGCTGGTCGGCTGACTGCAGTGAGCCGGACGTAATGAGTGCCGTGTCGACTTTCGGTTATCAATTTCACAATTGCAAAGAGTTTATCAGCCGCAGAACCAGCATACATATGATGGGATTTCTCTTTTGAAAGGGAATGAGTGGGAGGTACTCAACCTCTGGTTGTTTTTCCTTCTTTTTTTGTTGTTGTTCTGTCAGCCACAAAACACTCTCCACTCAACAATTAAAAATCATTTTTCATCTGCCATCGCACACACACAATTGTTAGTCAGCGAATCCTCCAGAGTCACCCGGCCCCCGCCTAACGCCCAGAGAACAGGAGTCGGAAAAAATTCGAAAAAACAAAGCCACACATCAACAGGCGGCTGGAGCCAGGAGTCGCCTGTCGGCCAGGGATATGCTGGGCATATGCTGGGACGTGGCGGGACGGGGCGGGGGAGGCGTATAGAACTTTGTCATGCCGACAATTTGCTGCCAATATTTTGCCATTTTTTTTCACACCAACATGGGAGTAGGGGGAGTGGTGGGGAGAGCGGGGTGTGTTCTCTGGTTTGCCTTCAATTATGCAGCAATTGAAAAATTACTACGTGTACAACAATTTGTGATTCTGATTCGGTTTTTCGGTTGGTTGTGTTTTTTTTTTTTTATTCGCGCACAGCCTCTTCTAGGAAAGGGTTGAACGAGTTTTAGCAGGGGGCAAGGGCAAGGGGACAGGGGGTGCATGAGTGGCAGGCCGACAGACAACAGGTTTTGAATTTGTCACCGCAACAACACCAACGAAGCAAAAATGCAACAAGAGGAATGACAAACGCCAAATGAAGCTCAAATTTAATTACGTGAATTTTATTGGATTAACAGGCGAAACCTGAAATCCTGGTCACTGTTCCTGCTGCTTCCTCCTGGCTGCTGGCTGCTGACTTCCCATAAAAACAAATTTAAATATGCCGCACACATGTGCTTGCCCCTGCCACAGCCACTGCCTCCTATCACTGCCCCCCAGCCACTGCCACGGCTGTCTAGTCGCGTAGGTGAGTCGTAAATTTACGCGCCATTGTTGCCCTGTGGCTCCCATCCTTCTGCTCTCCTGCCATCTCCTGGCCACCGCTCCTGTGCGTGTGTTGACGCCAATGTTGGATGGACACCCCCCCACCTCCCCCGCACTGGACGGGTGGACGTTATCTTCCTTTTTTGGCCTTTTCACTTATGCAAACGGAACATTTGAAAAATATGTTGGCAACACACAGGATAAACAGAACGGCAGCCAAGTGCAGCTGATGCCCCCAGACACAGACGATGGGGCCTTTCCTTTTGCGGAGTCTCTCTCTCTCTCTCTCTCTCGCTCTGCTCTGACATTTTAATGAGCATGCAACGCTGCAACGTGCAACGTGCCGGTCTGAAGTCCTGGTCTGGGTCCGGGTCCAAAAGCCTTGTTAAATTCATTAGTAAAACGTTGCACCTTCAGCGCAAATCCAGTGACAGAGAGGGGGTGGTGGAGTAGGCTGAAGCACACGTCTGTTGGGCCTGATGTTGCCACACAGCACACACGAAATTAAAACCTCCCTCCCCCCATCAGCCCAGTCGAAACCTGAACAACATCCTCCCCCCAGTGGCAGCATCGGCCCCAGTAGCAGCCGTAGCATATCGCCACACCACGAACCAACAGCCCAACAGCCCAACAGACAACAGACAACAGACAACATGACATGATACCGATACTAAACTGACACTTTGACATGGACTTAACCCTAAAAACGCTTTGTTGGCTTTATTGGTGTCGGTTGCCGTTGCCTGCCTGCCTCTGCCTGCCTGCCCCACGAGGATGGGATGCTGCTACATCGAGGGCATGAGGCAGGGTCATGCTGCGTGTTGGCGGGGGCCAGCCTTCGCCCCAAAAAGGTATCCACTTGATTTTTGCACTAATTTACGTGGATTAAGCGAGAGAGAAAGAGCGCTCGTGTGACCGTGGGTATTAAGCTTAAATACCTTTTAATTGACAATTTGTGTTTGGCAATTTGATGCCTGATTTTTGTTGTTTATTGTGTGCACAGTGTAGGGAGGTTGTGGGGTTCATTTCGGATCATTATATTATACTAAATATATATCAACAAACAAGGCAGCTACGGAGTGGCAGAGGTAGATAATTAATTTCCCCCGGGGGGGCTTAAACTTTATAACAATTTAAATTTTTTAAATGGAAATCTACAATATTATTAGTGGGGCTAAACTTGAAGGCAAACCTTCAACCTTCCTTTATTTGATTTTTGCCTTGATCCATCTCCTCCAATTAACCTTCACTTTTGACCACA